TGATGAAAAAATAGGGGACATCGACCAACAAATCAAAGACGCAAAAACACAAATCGTTGATGATCTCTGTTTAATCCTCAACGAGAATAATGGCCAATACATTGCACTTAGTCTGCTCTTGAATGAATTCGACGTTCTGTTGACGTTTGTTACGTGCAATTGGCTTTATGGCTGGAATCTCCCGACGATAACCACTGCTGCAAGTCCGCTTATTATTACACAAGGAAGAAACCCAATTGTTGAACTTGTCTCAGACTCTTTTGTGCCAAATGACACCAAGGTCGACAACGTTCCAGTGCAAATAATTACTGGTCCAAATTGCAGCGGGAAGAGTGTCTATCTCCGCCAGGTTGGGATGAACGTTTATTTGGGGCTTCTTGGGTGTGGAATTGCTGCTCAATATGGTGAAATTCCGTTGATCAAACGCATTTTGACGCGGATAACAACAAAGGAGTCAACCAAAAGCTGTTTGTCTGCATTTACAACCGACTGTTCCCAGATGAGTGAAGGTCTCAGAACTGTGGACAACGAGTGTTTGTTCCTGATCGATGAGTTTGGAAAGGGCACCGACCCTTCGGATGGGTTTGCTTTGTTTTCAGCCACCGTCAAATACCTCCAAAAGTTGAGAACGAAGGCGCCAAAAACACTGATCGCGACACACTTCATAACAGTTTTCCAGGAGATTGAAAGAGACTGGTGCGTGCCACTTATGATGGACACAAAAACTGACCACACAAACGACACAATCCAGTTTTTGTACAAACTTGTGCCTGGTATAACGACCGCGGCGTATGGCATTGAGTGCGCAAAGATTGCTGGGTTGCCTCAAAACATTGTTGACAGGGCGTTTAGCGTTTGTAAATGTCTTCAGGAAGACAAGTCGATTGTTCCGCTTTCGACAAAGGTTGACGCAGAAAAGTACTACGACAGTTTGATTTCGAAGTTTATCGAATTTGACACTGAGAAAGGAGACATCACAGAATTTCTCACAACCATTCGTAAGGTCACGAATCGTGTCTATGGCGGGAAGTCCTGATAGGCATATTAATATATTTGTATGTCATTGTGTTTACTTGACAAAATGGGTGGCGTGAGGTTTACGTTTTGGTGTGGAGATGTATTCTCGACAAAAACGCACATTGTGGAGTTTTATAAAAAAAATCTTTTTTTATAACAATTGGTGTTGGTTATCCAGTTTGAAGGTTTTTAGTGTTTGACTGGAATTGCAAAAAAAGAGTAATTGACGTTCAAACCTTTAGAAAGCAATACATCTAAAACGACATAAACTAACACAAAAAATGAATAAAAAGGTCTGAGCATTTACATAAAAGAACAGCACCCTCCTTCGTTGCTTTTGTCCCAAGGGTTTGGGTCTTTGTATTCGGGACTGAAGGGGTCCACCTTTCCTTTTGAAAAAGTGACCAGGCCAGCACACGCCTCGCTCACTTTCATCAGATTTTTTGATCGTTCAAAGTTTTTCATTAGCCTTTCTTTTTCTTGGAGGAGACGCGTGAGTTGTTGCTGTGACATGAATATATTTCTTTTCAAGTTCTTTGTATTTTTCCCAAAAACAAAACCAAGCTACTTTTGTGATATTTTCATCTTTTTTTATAACCCGATCGATTGATACAAAATAGTCGGGTTTTATTCTTTACCAACAATTCCATATTTTTTTGTCGAGGTTATTTGGCATTTTTCAGAAATTCTGTTTGAAATTGGTATGAATGTCTTGAAAAGACGGTTTATTAATTCTCAAATCAAATGGACATATATATCGAATGTCTTATTATATTTTATTATTAAAGAACTAAGAAAATACCATCGTATTGTATTCATTTGTTGGGTATTTACGACAATGAATAGACAGATTATCAATGTTTACGTAAATGACAATTTGACAAAAGAAAAGTGTTCGCTGAAATACCAATTATTAAACTAAAAATAAAACTATTTACTCTACACACAAAATAATAAATTTCGTAGTAATAAATAGTAAAAATATGTATTAAAAATAAACTATAATTTAAAAAGTCAAGATGCTTTGGTCTCATCATATCAGTTCAAATGGGGTGTTGGCGAGAAACTTCGACAATCTTAGAAATGAATAAATTTGCCATGTGTTTGGGAGTTTAATAGCCTCTTTAATTGCGCTGTTGTTTTAAAGGTTTAGAGACACTGGAGAACACTCAAAAACTGTTTATTTTATATTGTTGTCGATTTTAATTCAAACTTATCCAAAAACCTGAGTACGTTTTTTTTAAAGTATAAAAATATTCAGTATCATTGTGTTTAATCAACACGTATTCCCTCTATTATATTCATTAACAAACAGATAAAAGAGTAGTTCATTTCTATTTCACTTATAGCAATTGTCTACTTATCAACATAATGTTAATTTGTTTATTTTACAGTGTTATTCACTGGGTTTTCGATTCCCACCATTTTCAATAATTATTAAGTCAGTTTATTAATTATTTAGTCAAAAAAATAAATTATTTCGTCACTTATTTTAATTAAACACCACCTACAATTATTAGTCCAGCATAAATGAAAAATAGACCATTCAAAAAATATTAATACCACCACAAATAATTTCAATATTATAATTTTTATATTTCATTCACAAAAATAAATAGGCGCACCACAAACTTATATGTTCACGTCATTTAGGATTATTAAAGTTTTTTCTGAATTATTTCACTTTCAACAAAAAATAAATTATTTTTTTATAAAATGTTATAAAAAAATATTACAATGAAATTAATTTAAAGATTATCTTGAGCATACACCTTTCTCCAAACTTCATTTCTACATCTTTGCATTGTCGCATTAATTTCGTGTAATTATTTTGAAATGCTGTTTAACAATGTGAATGAAATGAATAATGTGGTTTTTGCGGTTTTAATAATTCAAAGGATATATACTTCCCACTTTCATCAACTTTGTCAGCAAAGCAGCGCAATAAATAGGTATTCCAAAAGTCTGTTAAAAATCTTCTGATTTCTGGTCAGGTTTCTTTCCAAACTCTTCAACAAACAGTTGCTTGAGCTTCAAATCAATTTTGGTGTATTGGTGCTTTTAGTGTTCTGAATGTTCTGGCCCAAATTTCTTCGGTCTTCATCTTGGATTTGATTGTATTGGAGACGGAATGAATAGTTGAATTGCAAATGATTGGAGCAGAGTACCTAGTAGAGGTGTAGGCGTTAACTGTCTATAATCGGTCCGTACACTTGAATCTGTGAGATCAACGTGATCTACTGATGCTCGGTTCATTATACTTTGAAATAGTTTTAATGTTGATTTTTATTTTTTTGTTGAAAGTGAAATAATTCAGAAAAAACTTTAATAATCCTAAATGACGTGAACATATAAGTTTGTGGTGCGCCTATTTATTTTTGTGAATGAAATATAAAAATTATAATATTGAAATTATTTGTGGTGGTATTAATATTTTTTGAATGGTCTATTTTTCATTTATGCTGGACTAATAATTGTAGGTGGTGTTTAATTAAAATAAGTGACGAAATAATTTATTTTTTTGACTAAATAATTAATAAACTGACTTAATAATTATTGAAAATGGTGGGAATCGAAAACCCAGTGAATAACACTGTAACTTCATGAATTGGTAATTAAAGTTTTTAACCATAATGTATAATAAAATAATCCATTGTGTCTAGTTTTTAATCAGATCAACCATTATTATAAATTAAAATGTAAATTTTAACTTATAATAAAATATGTACCAATATTTATAATATAAACAATTAATACTTTACAATAAGTAAAATGTTAGTATAATTGAAGAAAAGGAATAGTTTGCATAACAAAAAACACATTTTAAACAAAAATAAAGTCAAACAAAAAACTTAAAATGACAACTGAAAAAGTCGAAAATAATTTAAGAAATGAATCAAACACCATTGGTCTTGGGTGTTTATCACATCTCCTTTCCTACAAACTCAGTGAACTTTCGTACAGAATACACAAGCGAGTCTGATCCTGTTATTAAAAACTATTTACAATTTTCTTATCCCGAGCTTCAAGAATTAAAATACGAGTCTATCATAGGAATTCCAGACAAAGTGTTTTCGTGTATTCGAACGACAATAGAACATGAGTACGAGTATGTCTACATTCTTCGATATTCCACTCCATATCCACATAACATATTTATCGTCACTTCACAGCATCATTCTTTCTTTATCGATTGTCTTCATTGTATCTATCAGTCTCGTGCACGTGTAAACATTTCTTTACTATTGAGCAATATCAAAACACTGACCTCGTCGAGTTTTGAGCAACCCATCATCAACTTGGGTAACTACCAAATTGGTGTGAAAAAGAACAAGGACATTCTTGCGACAATTCGGATGTTAGGTGTTAACACTTTTGTCGACATTTTTTTCAAAATAATGTTAGAGGAGCGCTACGTGTTTGTTACAAATTCGTTCGAGTTACTCCAACCAACAATTTTTGCGTTTCAGTACCTCTTAACTCCGTTTGTTTGGCAACAAATTTTGATACCCGTTCTTCCAATGTTCTTATCTGGGTATATAAGTACAATTATACCATGTATCATCGGGTGTACAAATGGGACTTATGGGGCATATATCATGGATTTTAATGAAGACGACGTTGGGCTCCATGTTTTTGATCTTGATAAGAAACACGAGACAACAAAGTCGATTGTACCAAACATGTTGTTGAACCAATTCTTTGGGCTCTTTTTGGGGAAGCTCGACCACTTAATCCAAAACGAAGAAACAACCGACGACAACGTATCAAATCTTTTTCTCGAATTTTTTAAAAGCATGTTGGGGCATTTTCGCTATTATTTTGATGTCTCGAAAGACGGAGGAACTGGGTTCAACGTTGAAGCCTTTTTACTTGGGACACCAGACACTTTCAAGGAATACGTGAAGAGATTTACAGAGACACAGATGTTCTGGATGTTCATCGAAGAGCAGCAAACCAACTTCGAGAAGAAAACACCGTTCTATAATTTTATTGACGCAAAGACTGAGACATCTTATTTGTCTCTTCTGAACGTGAGCACAATCGAGAGGCGATGCGGTTTGTGTTTACAGACGATAAAACGAAATGACCCGATCTTTCAATATGCAGACAAAAGTGTGTGTCATCGTCAATGTGCCTGTTGCTCTATTTGCAAACGATTTTCAGACATTAAAAAGTGCCCCCTTTGTGTTGACATCAAACAGCCTATGACGCAGGAAGAGATCAACAAAAAGTACGAACAAGCATTACAAGGGAAATCACTTCTTCGTTCGAAAATGGATAGCGTGTGGTTATCTGAGCAAACTTCTCAATTGCTCAAAAACGTTTGTTTCTTCACACTCCATTTTTCACTCTTATTATTCAATATAATACTATTAATGAATATAATTAATAGTATAAACTGAAAATAACGTTTAGAATTTAACAGAGGAATTAACAAGTTCATTCCACAACTCAATGACATTGTCCTTCCGCAAATTGTTGGACAAACGGACATCCACAAATCACTTAAAAGACGCTCTTCTAGTGGCTGGAAGTGCAGCCTCTATTTCTAAAGAAGTTACAAAACACCACATGATATCAACAACAACACCACCACCCCTTCCACCAAAACCTAAGTTTAAAAGACAATTACCCAAGACCGAAGTCTCAAAATCATGTGACTCACTCACAATGCCAAGTCACATCCTTAATGATGATTTGACCATTGCGGTGAAGCCGATACGAAAGCCACTCCCTCCCAAACCGTATTAGTTATTACCATCCTATACTATATTTGTAATTAATTTTTACAAAGCATTGTTGTTCTACTTCCAACCACTCTCAAAACCAAAACAAAAAATAATAATAGCAACTTACCACACAAATGGGATAAGTCGGTGCGGTACATCAAATCCTTTAATCGTCGTTTTGTAACTCTCGTGCATTTCTGCGGCAAATACAAACGAAAACGTCCAAGCAGCAA